TGAGTAGAAAGCGAACGACGAACGTAGTCACACAACGGAATATCAACGTTCTGGGTAAATGATGTTTATTAAAATACAAACAAAATAAATATACGGAAGCTAAAGGTAAATGCTGCAATTTATTTTCCCAGAAATGGGATATTTTGGCATAAATTATTTAAAATTATAATTTATGGTAATTAGTTTTTTTCATTACCTATGTAAAAATTGCAAAAAAATTTTAAAAAAAAATTAGTAAATTTCATTTTATTAACAAATATAATGGCGATGTAGATTTTTCTATTTCTGTTAAAATGATAATTACAATAAAATTCATTTGTATTGTAAAATATAAAATGTAAAACAATATTTACATAGCAATTAATACATTGGATGTAGTAAATTTAGCAAAAAACTTCAATCCTAGCTTGAATGATTTGAGGATAATTATGTTTGAAGATTAAATTGATAAAAATAAGGATAGAAAATTCACTAAATTTTTATCATAGATGATTTCCACTATAAATAATGTAGATGCTGCTAACCTAAGATTAAAAAATGTAAAAATGGCAATGTTACATCCCACATCATGATTATTCATAACGAGCTTAAAAAATAAATACTAGCTAGAAGAGATATATATTTGTTTAAAATGGAATCAGGATGATTCTCTCTAAAACGTTAAGAAAATAGACAATTCAAGAAATAAATACATAGGATATTTTAACGCATTTATGAGATGTAAAATATAATATATTGTTACAATAATGTTTTAATAGATTTTCAGTTGTATTTTTTAATTAACTGTATTTTTTTTAATTAAATAATTTTTAATTAAATATTAAGTTATTTACGTTAAAACAGCTTCACACCGAAACGACTACGCCGAAACGTTCTCGATTTCATTTTTACTTTTCTCTATAAATAACATATTAATAGAATTCGTTATAAATATAAATATATAAAAAAAATACTTATACTAATACTATTTACAGAACGATCAGCTAGCATCGTAACATTAATTTAATAATAAATTAATTTAAAATATAATTTTTGGAATTTTTAAAAATACTTAAAGATCATATTTTTAAATTGTTTAATGTTTATTTGTTACCTAAAACTACCTTCAAATCTAAAAGCCGAAACATTTTTAATGTGCCAAAGGTGATAACAAACACACAATAAACCACACATCGTCCATCGATGTGAAATCAATGCACTTTTCACTCTGATTTTTAATCTAAAATGAAAACTTTTTAAATCATAAATATATTATTTTATATACAGTTTATTATAAGTTATAAACATCACTTTACTCAGCAAGAGTCGAGTTCAAAAAAAAAAAAAAAAAAAATTGAAAGTCACAATCAGCTACTTTTTTAGAAGTGGGTAGATTTATATTTTCACTGGACGTGGTGGACGTGCAGCGTATACACTTAAATCCGATAAAATAACAATATGTATTGTATTTTTATAGTGAACCATTTCTTTATATTGTGAAAAAAACCGTAGGTACCCCACCTGTTATATATAATATATATGTATAGTTGCAAGATTGCCGGATTACCGCTGGACACTGCGATTCGAAGTGAAAAACAAAAATGAAACGAAAAATGTGCTGCTGCCCCTCATCATGTTCTCGCTGCAGGAAATAATGCCATTTGCAAAGCACCATACAAAATAAGCCGCTGTGAGGGGGAAGGTTAATAATCCAACCCCCGCGAGAGCTGTGGCGATCACGGATTTGACTGGTTTTGTAGTAAACCTAGTGCTCGCGAGTGTAATTGAATAGCATATCGATCTTTGGATCATCACTGATAACAGCATGGTTCGAGTAATCTGGGATAATGTTATATATAATGTCGTGGACGTTAGATCCGTACGAGGGTATGTGGTGAGGGGCCCACTCATCCGTGTTTATATTTCTATACTTATTTTTTTTCCAATAAAACGTATTGCGTGTTATTTCTGTGCATATAAGTGACTTGTATAATCCTGTTTGTAGGTAGTAGACATTGGAATAGTAAGAGAAACTTTATTCCAACTATTCAATCTGCTGCAGTTCTCGGTACGCTCTATAATGGATGCAATGCAATACTGTAATCTGTATAATGTACGTATATACGATTTGTATCCATATTAATTTTAAACTCGGTGAGTTAAATTTATTTTTATTATCTATGAATTTCTAACTTAGTCATATTCTGTTCACCTAACTTGATTATTTTCATTAAGTTTCACGCTTTTGACTAACACGTATTATATCTTCCAAGTCAAATAATATTAACTTAATTTGTCTTTTTGTAACGAAAAAAAAATGTTTTATAATGTTATCTAATTTTGAATGCTGTATCAATTACAGATGTTTCTTATTTGTGTAGTGTAGGTACTATTAAGTATAAAATATAAGTCATACAGATTATATGACTTAAAAAAATGTTAGACATTAAAATGTTTGATACCTATAGTTACGAGATATAGTATTTTGTGCTAATTTTATTACTTAAAAAATCATTTTGTAATCTGTGCCATGTTTTTAATTTAATTTGTTGGAATTTATCTGATACCGAGCCTGAATAAATAACATGAAAAATTGTGTAATGAATTAAAATATTCCTGATTTTTACATATTTTATTAAAAATTGAAATATTGCCCATTTAGTTATTTATACACCTAACATTACTTCGCTTAATTGTTTTTAACTTGATGTACATTTTAATAATTTTCTTGAAATACATTAATAAAATTAATTATTGATAAATAATTTAAAATTAACTTATATTATAAATTATGTTCAAATAACAATTTTTTCAAGTGCCTATAACAAAATTGCGCTGATTACATAGAAATCTAGTTTTATATGACACAAATTACAACCTCTTCAAAAGTGGCGTGATTTTATTTTTATTTTTTGTGTAAATTACATACACCCAGGGTTAGAGTTCTATTATTAATTAAATACAAATCAGTTTAAATGTAATTTATTATTAATACTATATGTATTAGGTTAGAATTTAATTTTATACAATAGAAATAAAATAGAATATTTTGAATTCTGATTTGTAAATACATAAATACATGATATAAAAAATGTGTACTTACATCACAATATACTGTCAATCATGTTTAGGTGGTGTAGTGTAATATATAACTGATGTGGACATACCACTCTTATATTAGTTATATATAATTTATATTGACAATATAACAACTATAACAAGGTATCATTAAGCAAATATATAAAATGATGAAAATGATATTGTAGTGCGGCTCTTTTTATTTCGGGTTTTAAATGAACGAATCCCTTCCGCAAATAAAACAACAAAAGTATTTTCTTTGGAAATAATAAAATTGTACTTACCTACTTAATTTAAAAATAAAAAATACATTACTTATAAAAAAAATTTTTGTTTTTAATCGTTATTATTTTTGATTTTATTACTTATATAATTTTCATGAAAATTCATCTTTAATTAATGGTTTGATGTTTTGTGTGTGATCTACACACGAGTAATAGCTATATAATTCCGCGATTTAATATATAGTATTATACCAACAAATATATACAATTTTAACTTAAAACCAAAAATATAATATTATAAATTTTAAATTTTTCTATTCAAGGTTACTCATTTTACGATCACGAGTAGTTTGTCTACTCCAACTGATGGATTTTTTTTAAAAATATACTTAAAATAAAATTATCTTTATTCAACAGATTATAAATTGTTTTGGTAATTTTTAAGTGCATTGTAAATATTAATGTATACAAGTAGCTATTGTTTAAAAATCGTTAAATATCTCAAAAATAATTTTACATCCATATGGAGCTACTCGAGAGATGGCACCGTAGACCACACAAAATGATTATTAAAATAAAAAACGTAATATTACATTTAAGCTTAGTTATGTGAACTGTATTTGTTGCTCACATCAAATATAAAATTATTATATTTTAATAACAACACTAAAATTTTGACTTTCCTTTTAGGTAGGATAAATAACCATATACAAATCAACAAACTTACATTTTATGAATGCCCTTTCGTATACGAATAATATTTATATTTTATAACTTACTATGTATTACAAAAATTGAAAAATAAATTACTAAACAAAAATTAGATATGTAAAAAAATATTTTTGGAAATATTGAATTACAATCTGTCTCCGTTCAAAATCGTTTTTTTTTTTTTTTTATCTTATACAATGATTTATAAATAAATTCAAATTTAATACATTAATTTAATCACTCAATGATGAAGTACGTTAGTCACATATACTGTACAGTAGAGCGACTTCCCTTATTTTCTTATAATAATTATTATCTATTATAAGTGTTCTAACGGTATGAAATTTATAACTCAACTATTGTACCATTCTAAAATCTTAAAATAGTGTTTTCTTATTAGTATATAATCAATAAAAATACGTCCAAATATATATTATTATACCCACTGTTAAAACTCTATTCCAGAGATCTATCATAAATATTTAAGACACAAGTGTGACAGTAATAATTATTATTGATGGAGATTATTTATTTTCTTTATTAATCATACTCGACAATCACTATTGGAGTTATGTAATTTTTTTTGGTTTTCGTAGTAATATGATTATAAAGTGTCAATAATATTTTTGATTTTATCTACTATGAAGATAAGCTTACATTTCAGTTTTAATATTAGATTTAAGTAGGTGTATAATTGTATTTTTTTCCCATATGGCACAAACAGTAGTGGAATTATTATTATAATAATTTGATTTGAATGGAATAAAATGTATTTAATAAAAATATATATAAAAAAGTATTATATTATTATAATATTTTAATTAATATATCACTTGAAATATATTATATAATATAAAACTAGATAAAATAATCGTTGACGAAAAAATAAACCTCTTGAACCAAATTTCATATATAATGAGGTTTTTGATATTTGATTGTTCAATAGGTAATAAAATATCATTACATCGATTTACTTACAAAATATATTATAAGTTTTTCGACCAAATCATGTTTTTAATTTCATGGATTTTATCTGCATTTTGGATTGCAATAGTATTCAGCGCCCATATAAATGAAAGCGACCTGAGTAACTCGTCTAAAAATATATGGGCTGTTCTCGTTGCTGGCTCTCACAGGTGGATGCGATATCGACATCAGGTAACATAATATTATTATTGTTGTTACAGTAATCCGATTACTTATTAGTCGAATCACTTAAAAAATGTAAAAAAGAAATATTTATACTTTACTGAAATTATTTTATTCTTTGTTAATTTATCAGGCAATCTAATAAAAAAAAAAATGCTATACTTTTCTATATATTTTAGTACCTAACTATAACATAATTTATTTTAACAATTTTTGTATTAGTATTCACATAATATTCTACTGTTCAATAATAATGCATGTGTATAATTTAACTTAAACCGATTTAATTTCAAGTATTAAAGAGTTTACGACAATAGGTGATATACTAACATATTATAGTCATAATATTTTGAGGGGCTATAAATAATATTATACTACAAAAACATTTTAAAAGTAATTACTTTGCCATAGTTATGAATTTATATGCAATAACATGGATGTTAAAAATATGCAAAATAAAATTGTGTACTTAGAATGATTATACCTTAAACTTTGTGTGTGTATTCCATTAATTTTTAATTAAGGTAAATTAGATAGCTAGGTATATATATATTGAAAAATTAATAAATAACCTTTATTTTCTAAGTATGTTCTTTGTATAAATTGACCATGACAATGAAATTGAAATAGTTATTTTAATAAAATACAAATAATTTTTGATACAAAATACAATATTTTTGTATAACTTTATTTTTCTCTTGTAGTAGTGATTTGCTTAAGTATGAAATGTAACTATATTATTTTCCATCGTGGCAAGTTTAGTATAGTTATGGTCTAAAAATAATTTTTAAAACAGATTTAAATTTATAAGCATCATTGTTTTTCATTAATTTGTTCATTACTTTAGTGGTAAGTATGATTCTGTATTTCTTGTATTTTGTACATAATATTATATCACACGAGATTATTATTTAATAATTCTCAATATTATATTATTTTACACTATATTCTAATACCAAAGCGGTAATTTTTAGTATAGATTAATATACTCAGTTACTTAGTACTTCATATTAAAATCATTATACTGCAATAGTATCAGAAATTGAATAAAATATTTTCGCTTAAATATTTTTATTTACGAAAAATTACTTAAATAACAATATTTAAGTATTTAAAGGTGGTTTTTTGAAAAACAGAAAAAATAAAATGTAATTTTTGTGTTTTAACTATACTATTGATGTATCCGATAAACCACATCCATGAATTATTTGCCTACTTAGTAATTTTAAATTAAAATAGTTGTATTCGATATATATATATATATGACTTATTTATATGTATATACTAATTTAAACAATGATTATTAATAAAAAATAAAATAATTAATATCACGGTATATTTTAATAATTATTTATTTACTAATATACAATTACTGATTTGAGTTTATATTATAATAATTTATGCCTATAAGTATTAATCGAGCGCAGGCTATTGTGAGATTAGTGATGATATAAACCATCATAATTACTTTGAACAAAATATTTTTAGTTAAAAATTATTTTATCTTAAACTTAACTATATATATACTACAAAACTTAATCTTTAATAATTTTCTTTGATAAGCTGTGCAAAATTATTAAGTAAAAAACAAAGTCTATACATTACAGATAAAGCTCTATAATGCAAATCTTGATTTTTAATGAAATATATTTACTTATAGGTTCAGTAGTTCGTGAAAATAATTTTATAAATTGTATTTATTTTAATTTATCGTGGTAATTTCTAAGTTTACGTGGCATGCAATATGTCGTAGGTATGTGATTTTTTATTTTGATATTCACAAGAAAATGCTAATTTTAAACAACAGACGAATACATTAAGTATCTATGTAAATATATATTTTTTGGTATAAATATAATTGGTTATAAAAATTCGTTGAACGAAATTGTTCTATTAATAAGGATCATATATATGACAACTAGGTACACATAAATATAAGCTCTCTCTAAAAATACGGAACATACTCTGAATTTGATTAATATAATATTTAAATATACAGTCTACAGCTTTAAATATTATTTATTTAAACTACTTTTAAAATAACTTTTATTTATACGTATATGCTGGCATTTCAATTGAAAATATGTTTGTTTAATGCTGAAAAATGTTTTTTTAAGTTTTGAAATTTTTCTTTAAAAATTGAAAATTTTATGATATAAAAAAACTTAATAATTAAATAATATTTTAGTTTTGCTCTAAAATTTTGTTTTTGATAAATAAATAGCTGGGAATTAGAAAAAAAAAACGGAAACATATTATTTTATGGGTAAAAATAATACTGTCAGCCAAAATATTTATCTTCTAAAATGGTATCGACTAAAGTAATATGTTAGCTAAAATACTACGGTAGAAATATTTGTCGGTTAGAATACTGTGCTGAAATACGAGTATTTATTAGCAGGTAGAATGAAACCTAAAATACTGTCAGCTAAAATGTGTGTCATCTTAAATACAATTTCGCAAATATACTTTTTAATTAATTATTTTTTTAGCAGAAATATGGTTTGGACACAATTTTTGCGTAATTATAATATTTTATGACAACGGCATACAATATAGCACACTATTTTCTTTATCTGACTAACGTGTAATAAAGAAAATAAGCGTTCAACATAGTCAAACTAGTTCTATTAGTTTTAGTATGAGAATGAATATTGACCTATTATCAAACTTAAAGTTTAGATCGTTATTTGACTTTGTACCTTAGCTTTTTTAACGTAATTTCAATTTTTATTCAACTTATTACAGTTTAAAAACATTCATATTTTAATGAGTTCACAATTCAGTAGATGTACGTATTTTATAATATAAAGGAAACACTCAGCATAGCATATTCAGATGTACAAAAACCATCGAGTCTACAACATCTTCACGCTTCACACTTTTGTATACTTATTAAACTAACTTATGTTATTTAAATAAACAAACTATTTTCAATTATTATTGACAATCATTTTAAATCCATGACTCAAGAGACGGAAAGGAAAGTAGACACGCTACAATATCTTCCTTTATAATTTAAATATTTCCATAAAACTACGGTACAAAAAGGCATAACGTTCTTAACTTTAAGTTTTATTATATGTAAATTCGTTCTAATATTAACAAAATAAGGTTGATTCTGATAAACGAAAATTTCCCGTCTCTGGGTCTAAGATATAATATGAATAGTGCAATAAATCTTCTCAACGCATAAATGTGTATACCTAAATATATGTGACTTAATCCTCAGAATAAATGTCTCAAATATTAATTGGCACGCCATACTCTTTAAGAGTATAAACGAAGAACAGGCCAATCAATATTGAGATAATATAATGTCTTTATTAATTATTAGGTATTATTATTGTATGCTTTCTATATCCTTCTAGGTTGCAACTTGTAAGTTTACCTAAATTATACCTATATAGATTTAATAGGCTCATTTCAATTTAATCGAATGTAGATAAGTGCCTTTTGTGAAATTTTTATATCATACTAAATAATGAACAATAAGTGAAAAAATATTTAGTTAAAAATAGAAATTTACATAAAATGTGTATGAAATATGTAGGTAGGTACTTAATATATCTGTTGGCGAAAGTTTGAAATTTACCATTCTATTGTTTATGAATTATATCGTCAATAATTATTGAACTTTTAGGTAAGATGTAAAGTTATAACTGAAATATTTATATTTATTTTTTTTTTCGAAAATAAGTTCAATTAGCTAGGTACTGCTTCTATATGAAATTTAAAAACATTATTATGAATTGCACTTATTAATGACAATAGTATTGGAATACTATTCCAAAATACAATAATACATTTTGCCTATTTATCTAATTTATCGATGACTAAATATAGTATACCTATAATCACTAACCAGCAAGTAACCAATAAACGCGCGGAATGGTGTTTATGTATTTAGTTTTGTAATAAAATATAATAATTGACTTCGTTTAAAATTTAAATTGATATAAAATAACTCAGAAATGTATATATTAAAAAAAAATATAATCGCTTTTAACAACATATTTTTCAGTCCAACGTTTGTCATGCTTACAAAATTCAAGATCAAATGGCATTCCAAAGCACCGTATTATTACATTTATGTACGATGATATTGCATACAATCCAGAGTAAGTTATTATTATTATAAATTACTTGTCTATAAGAGTTAAGTTATAACACATATTATTCTAAATACATATAAATAATAACAAGTTTTAATAAATGCTTATAATTTAGTAATACTAATAAGGTGGAATATTTAAAGAATTATCGATATAAAAAATTATAAAAACTTAGCAATATCCAAAATTCCAAAACACATTGAATAGAAGTAAGTTTTTAACGTAGTTAATGAATATATCTTTATAAGCGTATCGTTTATGGTTTTTATAATCTAGCACTTTGACAAGGACGTTTCTGCATTATCTAATAATACCTATGAGTAATTTATTAGTACAAAATAAAGAATTATAATATTTACTTATTGATGTTGCCAAATAAAATGCAATGTGTTCAAAAATATATAATAAAAATGTAATAAATTAATAATTTAAAAGCTTATTATTATATGCGTATCTATACATTTCATTAGAACTTATTTTTTTGTAAAGAATAAATAAAACATAATAATACTGTATAAAGGTTATGATTAATACAAATTAATACGTTTGTGTATATATTTTATAATTTTATTACATTTAAATTCAATCCCAAAGTAATAATCGATCATAATAAATAATCAGTAAGACAATGTAGATTTAACATTTGAATTATCCTACTAGAAACATATGTTTTTGTTAATAAAGTAATAAATATTGTATGTATTGCATATTTTTTTTAAACATAAAATATATTGTTTTCTATATTGTTTGAATCGCTTTTTACAGCTTTAATATTACTTTAATGGAAAAACAGAACAAAAAGAAGTTAAGCTTTTAATTTGTAACGTTAGAAGCCGTGACGTTTTCAGTTTTTAGTTTATTTTACTGGGCGTTACTTGATCTTACTCAGTACTTTTTACATTAAGTTTTCGAACTAGAAAAATTATATAAATGTTTTTAATTATAAGATATAGTATTCTTGTATCACATTAATTTAAAATTAAAAAAAAAAATAATTTGGAGTTATGATGAATTAATTTATATGTATATTACTAAACAAAACTTGTCAAGCTATCTATATGCTTAAAATTGTATGTTACTATACTATTTAAAAACCTTTGAATATATACATCCAGATAAGATAAATAATTAATTTTCAAAATATCCATCTGTTGTTAAAATACTGAACAATTTTTTTTTTTTTTTTTTTAGAAATCCCGAACCTGGTGTGATTAGAAACGAGCCAAATGGTACAAATGTTTATAAAGGCGTACCAATTGATTACTCTGGTGAAGTAAGTACGGTTTTGCGTTTGCTTACAACAATAATTGCTCGTTGATTCATAAATAAGTTATACAAATACAATATTATAAGTTCTGTTCAAATGTATTATATTATTGATTTATATTAATAAACCAAACTAGAGTCATTATGAATTAAAATAAAATATTATTTTTTAACTATATTGATTCAACATGTATTTTTACTATTAAAAAATAATAAGTAAAGATTTTAATCTGTAGGATGTTAGAAAAGATGTATTTTTGAATGTTCTTCAAGGATACAAGGCGAAAGTAAAAGGCGTTGGAAGTGGACGAGTGGTATTCAGGTAAGTTTGGTATTTTATTAGAAATATAATATATATATTTCATATGTAATTTGTAACTTATCTCATATAAAAAAATTATAATAATAAACCTACAATATTGGAGTTGCACGCATTTAAACTATTTTCATCCATTAACCTTATAAAAGCGTGTGAAGTAAATCCAAGTTAAGACTGAGTGGAGTTATGGGCTATTAATTTTACAACGGTTGTATGCCGTGTGTTTTTTCTAGGTTTCTTTGGAAATTACAAAGCTCAAAAAATTTAATATATACTATATTTATAGTTAATATAAATTAAACATATATAATACAGATAGGACTAAAATACAGTGACTAGTGATGAAATAAATATAATAATAATATTATTTTCTGGTTTATTTACCAGTATAACAGTCGCTTGAAATATTTTACAACACAGTTAATAACTTAAAGCTAATTAAAATAACTGGATCAATAATATTTTTGTTTAATTTTCTGAAAATTCACTGAAAATATTTTAGGTTCTATGCTGAACGATAAATGTATTGGTTTTACACTAGGTGAAATATATATTTAAATTTTGTTTTTTTTGTTGATCGCATTTTGGAGTTCTAAAAATTCTTCGGTCATCATCTTTAAGGATAGATTTTAATAGAAATTTGGATTTAATTGGTAATTTTAAAATTAAAATGTTAAGTGCTTTTAATAATAACTAAGATAAACTAATGAAATGTTACAAACTCATAGGAAATCGTACGCATTACTATATTATCATAAAATAGATTTTTTTTCTTTTTGTTACAATTTAAAAATAAATAACCGTAGAAACTTAAAAATTTTAGTCGAATATTAACAAAAGTATTTTCTACACATGAATTAATTTTTTGAATTTTTTTTTTAATATTTATAGAAGTTTTATTTTTCATATTTTTAGATTTTTCAATTTATGTTTATAAAATTATTCTTTCTAAATTAAATATCTTGAGTTTTAATAAAAGGTTCATCATTACATTTTATTACAGTAGTTGAAAAAATTTTAAAATCCAAAGTTACAATTTTTAAACGTTTGTAATGTTTACAAAGCATTCAAATTTTAACAAAATTCATCAAAATTACGAACATAACATGAAAATTATTTTGTAGTTAAAATTCGTACAATTCTTCTTTTTTTTTTTTTTTAATTCAGGTTAACAATATTGAAATACAAGATTTTGAATACTATTGATTTTCCTTTAATTGAGTAAAAATAAAGTTTAAATTAAAGTCACATTAACTGTTAATAAGTGTATGAAAATCAAATATTTGTAATTAGTTATTTGTAAAAAAAATAATGATTTTAGTTATATTTTTGTAATTTAAAATATATTACCTAACCAAAGAAATTTAAAACATTTCACTATTACTTAAATTTAAAATAATTATAAAATATCCTTTGAAATAGAAGCTTTGATACCGTCTCTGTTTAGAATTCTTTTTGTACACAAGTATTAAATTGAATTTAAACTTACCGTGTTAAATTACAATGATCTACTCAATGTTTTTATTTTTTCAAATAATTAATATAAAATATACTAATTTTAATTGTATGTCAAAAAGGGATAAAATAGCTAACTATATTTATAAGTTGTTTCAATCAAATAAATTTTTGGTAAATAATTAAACGTGTTATATTTGTATTTTATTAATTTTCATTATTCGTAAAATTATACAAACACTTATTCATATAAAATATAAAAGTCAAAGTCAGGTATTAAATTGTATACTGTTTTATACAGATGAGATATTTAGAAATATTTTATACAACTACGCTAAAAATTTAAAAACATTTAAAATCACTTAAACAGATAGTGTAGTATAGTTTTACTTGATAATATTTATTCATTGAAATAAATTCTGTTTTTAGTACGAATAAAGACAATATTTTTATTTTCCACACGGGTCTTGGTGGCCATAATGGATATGTTGAATTCCCGGATTCTGGGGAAGACACCGATTTGCACGCAGAACAACTTGTATCAACTTTTAAACATTTACACGACCGTAATAGCTATAAAAATGTATTAATATTAAATATATATACATTATCTAAAGTTAATTATAATATTACAATGTAAACGTTTTAATTATGTATCGTTGTTTTACTATAGATATTGATGTACTTAGAATCGAGTCATTCTGGTGCTATGTTTGATAACCATACACTTCCTCATAATATAAACGGTATGTATATTAAAGTTTTTTCCTGTTGGTAAATTTTTCTAACGGAACTATATTTTCATAAAAATAGTGAAAAATGTATAGATATAAATAAAATTCTATATTTTATTCCTAAAAGGTCTATTATAATTTAATTTATGAACAGAAATATTCAAATTAATAATTATAATCAATAGATAGGTGGTGTGATGAATTTTTTCTTAATTTAATAATATCAATATGTTAGATTAATTAATTTTATAAGAGTACTGATCTTTTGTTCATAATAGTATTGAGTATATATAGTACTATACTCGTATATACTCAAAGATAATCGTTTTTACCAATGAATAATATTTTATCATATATCTACATTTTAAATAAATAATTTCATTTAAATTAGTTAACCTAATTTAAAATTTTAAAGGCATTATATTTTTGAAATCGAAACAATATTATTTGATAGCGTTAAGTAGTTTATTTTATTATTATTTCATAAATATAACTACCATTATTGATATTTATTTTGACGACAGTTTTAGCGATTAGCGCTGGTGGACCAGACGAAGATACATGGGGTACATGGTGCAATACGAACATAAAACCATGTCTCGCTGGTCTGTTCTCATATGCTTGGATGAATTATGACGAAAATGTAACATCAATAGTATATTCGTAGTATTTGAATAAGTTGATATTTTTTTAATTTTAATTTTAAATTTGCATAGAATCCTAACAAATTAAGGAGAATTCAAAGCGTGTTCGATTATTTTGACAATGTCCGAGATATCGTGTCGCACACGGGTAAACAACATCCTCAACTCTATGGTGATTGGAATATCGGAAGATTACCAATAAGTCGATTCATCGGTTTTGAAAATCGGTCGAGTTCAAAAGCGGAAATAAAACCCATCAGTGGCGCTAACAAGTACTATGCATTTGACAAAGATGCAATAATTACAGATGACGTGACTGCAGTCGACAAACATATCCCAACAAAATTATTTCAACAAAAGGTAAATTAGTGTTTGACAACAGGTTTATGTGATTCAAATTATTTAGTTGATTTAGGTATTCAAACGTGTCGCTATTATAAATATTATTATATAGAATAAATAATTGTTATACCTAAACTATTAATATTTTTAATTATCCATTTAAATAGATTTATTATATTGTAATACCAATGATAAACATGGTGTATTTATTGTATAATAATGTTATTATTAATTGTACGACAAATAAATAATTTATTTTATGTTTTGGATGTTTTTATTATAGTATTTATCATTATGTTTGTTAATATGTAGATAAAAAACATTAAAAATTGGTATTAGGTAAATATAATAATTGATTGAAATTAATTTTATATTTTGTAAAATAATAGTCTTCAAGAAATTGTAATTACTAAATTAGTATAATTACAAGAGTTACGTTTAATTAAATTTACTCGATTTATGTTAAAATATAAATCCAACTGAAATAGACCTTTAAGTCTATTATAGCCCAATATTACAGCCTACTCTAAAATTTTAGCTACTTTTTTAACTTTAGGTATCAGTTATTATTTATTAATAATTATTATATTAGCATAGTTAGTAAGCATAGGTAATAACCAATAGGTACATTTTTAGGTTCAGGGTTGAATTGAGCTACGTTTAAGTATAATATTTCTCTCAGAAGCAATATTTTAAACAGTTATATTATTATACCTATTATCATTCATAATGACTATAAACAATTATCATGAATGATTTTAATAATAATTGTAAAATTGTAAAATTAACAAATGGATAAGCGTTAAGGCTTTACATATTTTGTTCTAAACAAAATTTAGTACAAAAAATTTCAGTTGAAGATCTAAAAGAACAAAAAGTTCTATAGCTAGAAACTTTTGGATGTATATGTATGAATATTATTTTCACTAAGTCAATTTTTTTTATTTTATATTTAATGAAGGTATCTACTTGGATATACCTACTTACTATGAAACAGAATCGATTGAAAAAAGTGAATAAAAATTAATTTTAAAACCAAAATAGTATTATTATTCTGTCAATTATATAGTTTTTATTTTTTCGATAAATATACAATGTAATGATTAATATATTTTAATGAATAATTGTACTATCATATAGTTAAGTATTGTGTATTTCAGTACTTGTATGGTAGACATAATTTATATGAGATAACAATTTTCGGTTAATTTATCTAGTGAACAAAATACGATCTTTATCATTAAGGAATGAAAAGCTCTATTTAAATCACTACTAAATAATAAATTTAAAAACTGAAAACCTTTAAATAATTCTCCTAGTTGTTTGTAAGCTTTAATTATAGAGCATTAATATCCAAAGTTTCTCGTAAAAAAATTATTATATGTATAAAAAAAAAAAAAAATGAATTTAACTTTATTTTTTTAATAAACTTATGCATATTTTATAGTAAAAGTTGACAATAACAACAAATAATATTTTAGTATGGTATAACAATACATATTATGACACCATACAATTATGAATATTGAAATATTATATTTGTTTATTATAGTAGGTTGATAAATAAATCGATTTGTTTACCAACAATTGTTCAATTATAGCCTATGAGTATATTATTATTGAAAATAAATTTTTGACTTAAATAAAAATATTTTAAAATTTGATGATTATGAAATTTTATCAAATTTAGAAATCTTTATCAAACGAGTGGATAATGTGCTGATATATTGATTTTAAAACTGTATTGTTTTTATTTTTTTAATTATTCTGTAGATAAATTAGGAGTGTTTAAAAAGTGTTATGAAATAAATTAAGAATCACTTCTAAAAACATAAATATTTCATTGAGTTGAGTGTGAATAAAAATGTAATTTTCGTATTCCTATCTTAAAATCGAAATAAATTTATTTCATTCATCAATTTAATTCAATTTATTTTGGATTTTTTTTTTTTTGAGGTACAACGTTTTTGTCAATAGTCTTCAAATGTATAATACTAGCATAGAAATACTGCTTGTGCAGCGAACCATCAAGGTAAGCAAGACATTTGTAATGATAGCTAGCCGTTGTACCCTTAGTCCTTGGGTCTGAAAAATTGTTCATATTAAATCATTTTACATTTTTGCTAGTAAATTTCAATAAAAACGAAAATCGTTTGTAAAATATTAATATTCGATTTTATATTATATTATTATATAGCTGTATAGTATGAAGGTTTTGTTGACTTTATGTATAGGTAGAAACAATTGTAAATATTGTTCAGTGAGTTACATATATCTCAGCAAGTGGAAAATGTCTAATTCTCTTGTTTGTATCGACCCCCTATTCACAGGGGCGCGCATGTTTGATTGGTAAATATTTACTATTGGATATTGTTTTGCAGCACTGACATCATCAAAAACACTGTAAAAAACCGGCAACATAATAATGTTTAAAAATATGTGTGTTTTTGCTCGATAATAATATGTATTATGTACATAATATTATATTTATTATTAAAGTTTGAACTATAGATAATTTTAAACCGTAACCTTGGTAACCGTTATTAACGATCGATAGAGTTAAACTACGATTATCGTCTCTAAATAGGTGGTAGTTATATACGCTAAGGTATATAATTCACAAACGGAAATTAGTTTTTACTGTACGCAAACGAATTTGATTAATGTTATAATGTCTAAGCTGAAAAAAGATTCACCATCAAAAGAAGAAACGGATGAAGACTTTATGACAAGAATAACTCAGCCTAGAATATGGACCATTTTCAAATCAGAATTCATTTTTCAAGTATTTATTGATGAGCGATTCGATGAAGTATTAGATATGTTTAAAGTAATTTAGTTCGATATTAATCATATATTATAATATGTATATATTATGTTCCCTTTTTTTTATAAATTAATATAGTTACTAATTTAACATTTTTTTTTTTTTTAATTTTAAAATTATAATTGTAGTTAAATTTTAAACAGAAAATAAATATATATTATATATATATATATATTAACTCAAATTCAAAATGTTGATAATTTTTACAATAACTTGTAGAGTTATCTAGTTTAATATATTTTCAAATTATAAATCTATTAGTAAATGATATTATTCTGAAAAATGTTTTTTATTTTGAAATGTTGTTACATATTTTAAAATTGTTTGAATATAAAGTTCATGAAATAGTTAATAAAGTAAATTAGTATCAGTATATATATAATAGATACATCATGTATCACATATATATTATGGAAATTTGTATCTTGAAACAAAATTTATATTTAATTATGCCTTAACAATTTCACATTACTAAATAAAAAAACAAATCATGAGGTTTGATAAAATAATTTCAATGCTCATCTCATAATATTATTTTCACTCGGTAAATCGATTTTAGACTGCTTACCTTTAATTATATTTTTGAATTACAGTTCTATTGCTCGAAAGAATTGCTAATTGCAGGAGTAGAATTTATTTTTATCTTATACTTTCAACTTAAAGCAGACAAAGCTACAAATTTATTCTATACAGAGACGATGATAATACAAAATATTAAGAGGACGCCATTTCTGTATGTATTGTCTTGCTGTCTTACAAACGTACTGTGAAATACCAAATGTGTGTTTAGAACTTCCAATTTCGTGTAGTAAGTTAGCTTTAATAGGTAATACGAATATATTGATATAGTGATGTGGCATATCCTTGAAAGTTTTGTTTATTAATTATTATTATTATTTTTTTTTAAGTGTTATTTTTTCCCTTCAATGTACTTATTTATATATTAATGATTGGATGAAAAGGAGGGCTAATATCAAAATAGAGTTATGTTGAGAAATATAATCTTAAAATAAGCAAATTTAAAAAAGTATATATTTATATAAAAATGAATTTTATGACTAAATTTGATTTCCATTTTAGCACATGATTTATTGAGGCATTTATATTTTTTTGATTCAAAAAATGTATTAATTTAATATTCAAATAATGTTAGAACTTTAGTAAGTAACTCACATTTATAAACTTAAATGATTAATTTAGAAATGACCAATGTCGCAACTATAGATAATAATCGGGTAATGTTAAAATAAAGCCTGTAATGTATACAACTTACATTAATGACATTGATCTCAAATAATCTCAAAGTTATTTAAATGTTAAATTGGCTAATAATAGGTATTTAATATTTGGTAAAAAAAAGTTAACGTTTTTCTTTAACTACTTGTGAATTTTATACTCAATTAATTTCAACGTAGATAATATTGACATTAATTTAATGATTTGCGCAAAGTAGCAATTAGTCAATTTTTTTACTATTATCATTAATTATAGATTTTGTAAGTTAATTTTTCAATAATACCATGTTTTTACTATGAGTTGACTACGATGCAACTTTACTATAATTTTTTTTTCAACTAGTATTTTACCATATTTCGTTAATAAGATCGAATCCCATCTGGATTAAGTGAATTGTGGGGAGCTTCCAAAATTTCTGTAAAACAAGTTTTGGATAGATAAAATCATTAAAGTTAATTTTTTTATCAAAAAAATGACATTTTTTGTCTGAAAATTTTATGGATAGCCTAATTTTTTATTAATTGATTTAGAATAAAACAACAATTATTAACTAAACACTCTATGAATTGATCAATTATTAATCCAATTACTAACTCGGTATATTGAAAGGAGGTCTGAATTAGCAATATTAACTGTATTGATATTTTTTGTACAGATAAACCTGATGATCTATACATAATACTTGGAACTATAGATTATTTTTATCCCAATTCAAATTTTATCAATATCGTTAAAGATAAAACAAAAATATTCTCAAAATATTTATCTATTTGTGTATTGTATATTATGATAAAAATATGATTCGTTAAATTAAAAACCCCCTTTTATTTTCAGAACAATTATATTTACGAAGAATCATTATGTAGTAATAACTCATTGTCTTCAGATCAAGATTCAATTGATCAATTTTTATATTTGATTAAACATTGGATATCAGATACTCTATCGTCAATCGTGATTGAAAAAAGTTCCGGGAAATGTATTGGAATAATTGTCTGCAGATTTTGTTCGATTGAAGATAATTCGTTGGAGTTTAGTAGATTAAGAGTAATTAGACAAATTTATTTAACTTATATGGCACCAACCAATATAAAATATTATGATAATATATAATTCAAGATAATTCAGTTAAAGATAAGCTCCTATTTTCTTAAAAAGTTCCAAATTTCAGTAATATTTTTTAAAATAATATTCTAAGATAAATAACAATTAAGAATTAAAATCATACAAAATGACAGAATACATTTTTAATTTAGTTTTTCAGAAAATGTCAATACATTAACATCGAATTTTGTAGTTATACAGTTAGCTACGAATATTTTAAGTTTATATGAGTAGAATAGAGGGTAACACTTTGTTTAAGTTAGAATGTTGACAACATTTAATATTCAAACGAAAAATTACAATTTTAGTTATTACCTATTTTGTAATTTGAAAAATATTAATTGCAGGGATTTTAAACTTTTCTCTATTATGTTTATTATTATTTTCCATACATAATAAAATTGTCAGTATATATTTAGATTAATCTTAAAGTATTTAAATCAATAAAATATTCATATCGTTCTATTTCGTTCGCGGTTTGCTGGTAATAATGACTTACAAGTTAATAATGATAATAATGTATACCATACATCCTATATAATATTTTAATGAAAGTTGATAATATATTATGAAATATTTTTGCAACTAATATAACTAATAGAAAATATAATTTAGTAATTGTAAATAACTATAATAATTTATAAAACATTCTTAGAAATAAATGCTGACATACACCGTCTTTGCTCAGAATTCTTTTCTCAATTGATGCATGATTTAATTTATACTTCAATACTTACTCAACGATGACATACACTTTATACCTACAACTTGTACAACAGAGCTTTTTCCATACGTTCTATTTTATCTTTGTTTTAATGAATAAAACAAATGTTTTAGTTGTACGAGGGAGAAAAATGGAATACAATACAGAATTTTAAAAACTACTTGAGCCAAAAAGTTGACATTTACAAATATTACAAAAGTGTAGCATTCCTCAGAGTTTACGCTTGGTTTATTCTTCCTTCATATAGAAGTCAAGGTAAGTATGTTTTTTTTTTTTAATAAAGGTATACCGTGTTGGTTGGTCATTTGTAAATGGTATCATATCCCTTTTAAGTATAATATATATATATATATTGGTTGAACTCTTGAACTTAATAATATGCATTTAAGTATATGTTCCGATAAAATAATGGCGTTTCATTTATTAATTATTCACGTACCTACCTATTAAAATTTACAGGTGCTTAGTTTAAATCGATTAAATTAATATTTATTTTACACAGGACTGGGTAAAAAATTATTGGAGTGTGTAATCAATCAGCAGTTACCTGAAATGGTACATTTAGGTTGCAGCGTAATTTCTGGAATATTTACTAACAAAAAGAGTCAAGAAATAGCGAGTTCTTTGGGGCTGAAAACGTTGTACGAAGTTAATTACACCGAGTGGGCTAATCAAAACAAGGTCGTTTTGACTGAGGACGTGAACAATGAAAATGCGACAGTAAGTGTAATGGCTTGTCAAATAAATAAGAAATGAATACCTATCTCTCTCACAATATTCATAGAACTGTTTTATTCAGGTATAAGCAGTTTTTAATTTTAATAAGTATTTAATTAATTTTGTTACGATTTTGTTTAATTTAATACATTTAATTGTGAGTAAAAATAAATAAATGGCTTTAAATGAATTTGATTTTTTCGTCTTGATTTATACGTTTAACGAATTCTGATGTATGAATTAACTGCATATAATGAATATATTTTGTTTTAGGTATATCTGATTAAAAAATACTTAAAATGCAATCGTTAAAATAATAATTTAAAATGCCACAAAAATTAATTTTATCCAAATTTTCTGTTTCAACACATTATTTTTATACATTATACCTAGATATAGGATGACGCTATTTAATATGATGCTCAAGTTACCATGAAAAATAGGTCATAGTAACCATAAACTGTGTATCTAAAATATATATAAAAGAAAAATTCACACATCAACGCAAAATCCAAATCGCTGAATATATTTTCAGATACTTGTAATGCTACTCAGAGTTCACTCATATAAAAATTCATAAAAATCCAAGTATATTGTATATAGTACAGTACAATAGTGCAGTGTATACAGATAGTCATCATATATTAATATATTAAATGTCAAATTTAGTATGGACAATTTTTTAAATGCTATTATTGCGGTTAAAAAACCTGAAACGTTTTATAAAAGATTTGTTAAATAAATAATTGAATACTTATTTGTTAGACTTTGAAAAATCAACTTTTTAGGAATAAGTAGGGATTAAAAGGTTGGCGTCAAAGTTAGTTTAGAAAAATATTAATCTGTTATCCAATCATCAGGTGGGTTTTTTAAAATTTATAAGCTATTAAGTACACTATGAGCTATGTATTTAGTATTTTTTAGTTTAATAAACCCTAATACTGTTGATTGATACGATGAAATATTAATATGAGATTGATTTTAATAAAGAATTAAAAAAAAAAAAAATTTACACAAGTTTACTCACTTGATAATCTTAAAAACTTGTGTTGCTTATATTTGTTGTATATTTTACTGGGTTGTAGTTTATCTGAACCGATTGGCTCATGAAGTTTTTATTACTCTTAAATCAAATTAAGTACATTAAAAACGTTGTTACTAATTCAATTCTGAACTATTGCACATTTCGGTCGGATTTGTATTTTATCTGTAAACACACTTGTCCATATACACTTGAAGACTGGTACTAATTGAGGTGCACGGGAACTGAAGTGAACTGAGTACAGTATTCTATATTTGCTTATTATTTTCCAAACATATCGGATAATACTGCCATGTTCAAACAGTCCTTTTTTTGATGTATGTAAAATGTATAAAGGGCTATACATGAAAATTGAATAAATACTTACATACAAAACCACTCACGACGCTCGTAAACCATAAATAAGTTGCAAAAAATTCATTGGACAGAATATGTATTTTAAATTATATAACATAATATATTATTATATTATAATATTTTTTTCAATAATAATCACTCTCTACAAAAAATAAATAAATAAATATATATTTTTATAATACATTAGTACACGTTTACAATAAAAATAATAATTTTATTACAAGCTGACTAAAATCTATGCAAAAAAAAATTCTTAGTGCCTCCTTGAGTTTGGTACCACCAACAGTTAGGGCCAAAAACGAACAACTTAATGAAAATAATTATTTCATGTTAAGTGAACACAAGATTGTTAAATCAAAAGTTAATAGTTAACACTAATAATTAATTCAACACACCTGCAAGATTAAAGTTAATAAGAAAAATAATATTAACTTAATTTAGTTAAAATAATATTCATTTACTTTTTTAATTAGTACGTAAATCACATAAAAAGTATTTTCTACCTATTTATAGATATTTTTATCAAAATATAATATATAACAGAAAGCTTATGGTACGATAGATCGTATTTTGTATTTAAAATCGTGTAGAACGTAGGTATATTATACGAATAGAAATTATTATAAGAAAAACCATTAAAACTAAAAATTTCAAAATATTTTTTTATTTTATTTTGATGGATTATTTTTAATAATAAAATTTTGAAATTTTTCCATTTACTGTCGATACAATTAAATAATTTAATCTGAAATTTAGAAAAAAATAAATAAGTTGAACAATCAGTTTAATTATCGGGATATTCTATGATCTACATTTTACAAAATAGTTATAGATGGATTTTTCTATTAAATACATAAAAAAGAACTTATTCGGCCATTATAATAAAATTTTGAAGTCTTTTCATAATGTATAAGTATATTTCTGAGACCTTCAAATTGACAAATTATAATTGACAATACAGCCTGTTATTGTTATATTTTTATTTTATTTTATTGCTATAATAATATAATATACTATATAATCTTATCATATCATATTTTCACCATTATTTTATTACTAAGTTCACAAAAAAAAAAAAAAACAATTAAAACTATTATTAATTATTATACTTACTATGTCTATTGAATAAAATATTATTATGTCATTTAAGTACCTATAGTTAAAAATAATACATTTTTAGTTTTAAGTAGATTCGTGCATTTACATTTTAAAATAACATTTCAGAATTTACAATAATTTTCAATTAATATACTTAATTGTATAGGTAGAATTGCATGAGACATTGAATGTAGACTATAATATAACAGTACATATTAATTTTATTTCTGTAAATGTAACTGGAAACAAATGTATAATATTAAAATGCGAAATGTTGTATAATATATAAATTATTTCGTTTAACAAAAAAAAACCTAATTTAATAAACTAAAAATATTATTTCAAGAAATAAAATCATATTTGTCTACGGAGACAAAGTATTTTTCATGAAAATGTCTCCAAGAAAGTGCCTAAAAAATTGATGAAAACAATTTTCTTACCAACTAATAAAAAATGTAATGTTTACTTTAAACTATTTTATATTTCTAATATTTGTAATCGTATACTATACTATACTATATTATTCTGTGAATAGGTGATGTTTATAACTACGAATACGATTCAGTAATTTCTTAAGAAAATATGAAAGATATAACAATAGTATTAATAGGCTATTTTATAATCTTTATGTCAGGTTACCCAAAAATGTATTCATACGTTATATATTAATTTATTTTACTATGTTGATACTTATTAATTTATCTATATTGTTATACCATAGCCTGATGGAGTATTTTAACAAAATTTTATGATTATAGTATCATTCAACGAAAAAAAAAAAAAATCGTAGGATATCGGAAAAAAGATAATCTTGATACAAGTGTATCTAAAAATTCTACCTTTAATGCCGTGTAATGATCGTTATAATATAATCGAATAACAAACAAACTTTCTACTTTATTACTACACGTATTACGTTTTATACGTCATTATTAAAAGCTTAGACTACAAAATGGTTTGTAATAAAATTGATCTATGTATATTGTATAAAGTTTATATATTTTTTATCGACGTGTAGGTATATTGGATTTTGTTTATTTTTGTCTCATATATTATTATTATTATAAATTCGACTATGAAAATCTTAATTCACGTTCTTCGTGGCGTATCTATAATGTATTAATATATTAGTAACTACATATTAAACCACAGTATAAATTTTATTTTTATATTAAAATGGCGTTTGACTTAAATTAGCTAGATGTAATAGTACGCTTATTTGAGGTGTATAATTTACTAAAAAATTTGTTTAAGTATTAATTATTTGTTTTCTGATTATGGAATAGGTACTTAATACTTATAATCCTATTTTAAATATTTAATACAATAAAATAAATATCATGTCTAAGTACATGTCTAATAATACTATAAAAAGGAAATTGTAAAATTTTACTATTGCTTATTTTCAAAAAAATTTCGTAATCTACTAGTGGATATTGGAGTTTATTAGCTACTGACTACATTTCATTTAAACTTCGTATAATTAACCAAAATATTTCGATTTAAGAATTTAGTATATTTATTCAACTAAATATATAGTTGATAACTTCACGAACAAGTAAAATCATCCTAAGAAATTGAAAACAAAGTTGATAATAACTTAGGTCTATATTCTAAAACTATTTTATGCAGAGATATATTTTTATTTTTATTGCTTTATAAACAGAGTTATACCAAATATTCTTTAACGAAAAATAATGTATTATTATTATAATATTATTAAATATTATCAAAATTTAAACCTAAGACTATTTATATTCATAACTATATATACGCCATATAGATCAATTACTATGTTGATAATATTTTTATCTATCCATCAGGATAAATCCTGATCATGGTATCCATGTATCTATCATGGTATTGGGTAAATTATATTATCATTGTTAACAGGAATTTTTTTTTTTTTTATTTTAAAGCTTAAACTTAAAATACTTTTTTTAAAATTTAATTGTGTATTTATATAGTATACTCAATGAAAGTATGTAAATAAACTGATATATGAGGAAGGTTTCGTTAACAGTTCGTTAATAGTTAATACCATATTTTTGATACTTCTTTTTAGGTTTAACTTTTCAATTAAAATTTAAAACACTCGATGAAATTAGTTATTTGAATTCCATTTTTGCTTTTGAATTTATTAATAATTTTTTTGAATATTTCCCTTGTAAATTATTATAAATTATTGTATAAATACATAAAATTATAATAAAATATAACGTTTCAATAAATACCGTATATATTTAAAATGTAATGAACAATTAATGCAATTAAAATTTGTGATAATTAATAAGTTAATTATTACAATTATTATATTTATTAATACAAATAAAGATTCAAATTAGTTCGCAACAAAGCAACATACAACATCAGAGTGGTTGATTTTCATCATAATTAGTGATGTGAAAACAAATAAAATAACATGAGAAATAAAAGGGTAGTTTGAAAAGGATTAGATATAGTAAAACAGGAGAATTTATTTTATTATTTATTAAATTATTAATACAAGTGGTAAAGTAACCGCATGTCTATTGTCAGCTTAAAAATTCAATTATTGACATACTTACAGATATACCAAAATAACAAGATGTAATTGCAAG